ACATTTCCTAACATGCTGGAAAGGAGAGTTTGTTTTACAATCAAGAACCTCTTTAGGTGGTGATCATTTCCTTTATTCTTGTGACCTATGTTTCACTTAAAATCCATTTCAATGTAACGAATTGTTAAGTTTTAACGTGGACTCTGTTTTTGTTCATTGATATTTATTCATATATTTCAATAATTATCGCAATGTTTGTCACATAAAATGTTTAATTTTAAGATGTGTCATCTAGTTGTTCAGTTGTTCAGTTCACTTTCAACCAAGCTAACCAGTTATTGTAATGTTGCTAAACAGTTATTTGCCACAAGTACAGAGGCAGTCAAGAGAACAACCTTGATGTTTGATTCAGGGCTGACGCTGTTAGGAGAAATTGGGTGCTAGTTAGGGTTTATTGAGATAACCGCTCCAAGATTCTTGGATTTTATCCATTAAAGGGTGATAAAAGTATATTATTTTGGTATTTTCAGGAAGCCTTTACATGCACTTGCTTGAAGGTCCACCCTCATGAATCACATTTTGTGGCGCAATCAAATGGAGACTACATTGCTTTGTTCTCAACAAGAAAACCTTACAAGCTGAATAAGTTCAAAAGATATGAAGGCCATAAGGTAATGAAATTTAATATTTAATAGTACAATAACACTTGCCTTATTATGGCATAAGATCCTGAGAAACTCCCTGCCCTTAGAAGATGGTCCATCTGAGAAAAAAAACTGTTCCTGTGAAACTCCATTGGTCTAAAAATCCATGGGTTCACTGGCCATTTTGACCAAAATGCTCCCTACCCCTCACATTAATTCCTTGTCAGGACCCCTCCCCCCCACTGACATGCCATAGTTACATACGTACATACATAGTTTATTTGGTAATGCACCTGTTACAGAATATGCAAGACTGAAGTCCTGATGTGGACCTGCCTATTTCCCAACCCATCTTTGACTCACTGCCTGAATAAAATCACATTCATTCACAACCCATGTAGCAAACAAAACAGTGATTTTTGCTTTCATGTTGTATACCTTATGATGTGGAAAGTGTAACTTAGAATCAGATTTAAAAGACTGATCCATCCCTTTAGGAAATGTAAAATGCTTGATAACT